AACACAAACAAGCCCAGCCACACCAGCGTCAGCACCACCGCAAACCGGCGAAAATTCAGCAACATCATGACTTACCCGGCCTTTCCGCTGGGATCACATGCTCCCAACCCGGAACCCAATCCACCCCCACTTTCTGATTAATGCTGTAATCGAAATCCGGGTCATCTTCGTCAAAAAACTCATGTGCCATGACCGCCTGCCCGTTTTCCAGCCGAATATGTGAATTCAGGGTTTGTCCGGTGTAATTGCGCTCCAGCACAATGCCGGGAAAACCTTTGCGTGCTTGCACATCCGGGCGGCAATCAATGCGCAAATCTTCCGGGCGCAACATCACATGCACCTTGTCTCCCGTCGCAAAACGGTGATCACAGCGGATTTCGCGCTCAACACCATTAATGCTGGCCTCATACTGGTATTCGCCCAATTCACGCAGGATTTCCCCGTCAAACACATTGATTTCACCGATAAATTGCGCCACGAATAAGTTACGGGGGGACTCATAAATTTCGCGAGGTGTCCCAACCTGTTGCGCCTGCCCATTGTGCATGACCAGAATACGATCAGACATCGACAAAGCCTCTTCCTGATCGTGGGTCACGTAAACAAAGGTAATACCTAACTGGCGCTGCAATTGCTTGAGTTCAAGCTGCATCTGTTGACGAAGCTTATGATCCAGTGCGCTCAAAGATTCATCCAGCAACAGAATTTTCGGGCGATTCACCATCGCACGCGCAATCGCTACCCGCTGTTTCTGCCCGCCGGAAAGCTGGTGCGGCTTGCGAGTCGCAAACTCCGACAAACGCACAATCGCCAGTGCATCCGCCACCCGTACCGCGATGTCTTGCACATCCACCCCGGCCATTTTCAGACCGAAAGCCACATTGTCAAACACACTCATGTGCGGAAACAGCGCATAACTCTGGAAAACCGTATTCACTGGGCGTTTTTCGGCAGGAATCCCAGCAATATTTTCGCCATTCAGCAAGATTTCCCCATCATTAGGCTGCTCA